CCCGCCCCCCGCAGCAGCTTGGGATCCACTCACCTAGCTGTGTTGTCTCAGTTTATATCCAGGGCTTTGTCGGGGCTGCTGGGACAAAGGTCAGCAACAGGTCTGCGGCTATCCTCAGGTCTCTGGTTCTCTACCTTTTTTTTTTAAGCTGACAGTTTGTCTCACTATTTGTATATCATTGAGGGCAGAAACAATGTCTTTATTTTGTCTTTTAACATGTGCTTTAAAAAATGAATATATGAAGGATAATACAGACAAAAAGAACTAGCAAAGAACCTTGTCTGTTGTTTTGGCTTTCTTTTAGTAAGCAATGGCATCAACCATTCTCCTCCTACATTGAATGGTGCCCCTTCGCCACCACAGAGATTCAGCAATGGTCCTGCCTCTTCCACATCATCTGCACTAACAAATCAACAATTGCCAGCCACTTGTGGTGCTCGGCAGCTTAGCAAGTTGAAACGCTTCCTCACCACTCTGCAACAGTTTGGCAATGACATCTCACCTGAGATTGGGGAAAAGGTTCGGACTCTCGTTCTTGCACTAGTGGTAAGTATAATATCACTGTTAACAACTAGCTGTGTGGCTCAGAATTGAAACCAAGGGGTAAGTAGATATTTCTGTTCATACCCAAACCTATAGCAATGTACAAATTCTACAAAGTATAGTGGTTTTATGTAACTTGTATAAAATTGTTGAGTTGCAGATTTCTGTTATAGGTAGTCAAGGAACAAAATCTGTAATGGTTACCTTATTGGTTCTTAAAGTGTTCCAATGATTTAATTTTTCTCATAACTGGATTTCACTTGGCCCACTAAGTTTCATCCGTATTAATGCAGGATTTGGTTTGCGTAATATATTCAGAACCTGCGGCCTTATTTCCAAACCAGAGAGAAAAAAGAAGTAGTAAGTTTAATTTTCAAAATAACTTATAAAATTATTAGTTTTATGGTGTAAAAGGGTATCAAGGGGCCCTCCCTGGTGGCACAGTGGGTAAGGACGCAGCATTGTAAGTTAGCTGCAGCTGCAGCCACTTCAGTTTGAGTTCGATACCTGGCCTGGGAAGTGATCCACGTACAGCAGACCTCTCTTGTCTTGCCTTCTGCTCCCCACTCTGTCTCTGTTGAATCCTCTCACCACCCTGCATCTCTGGCTTGTACCCCATTTCTGTATGCATAAATAAATAAATCTTTTTTTTTTTTTAAATGGTATCAAGGGCCCTCCCTATTGACGCATAATGCTGAGGCCAAAGCTCAGCATTAGGAAGCTGTCCACAGCCACTGCAGCGTGAGTTTGATCCCCAGTCAGGGAAGTGACCCACATGGCACAGCAGACCTCTCCTATCTCACCTGCTGCTCCCTCAGCAGTGCATTTCAGTCAGTTTGCCTTTTCTGCTCCCC